CTTTTCTCTGTATCTATGAAGCGCCTTGAGGCGACATTTGTTGTGATTTGGCGCTATATAAATAAAATTGAATTGAATTGAATTGAATTGATGAGGGTGGTGGGGGTGTTGGTCAGACCCCCTGAGACTGAGTCAGGTGGTTTCCAGAGACATTAAAATTCAAACTGTACCTTTTAAAAGTGTACTGGCTGAATCTCAATGTGTGAAATCATAATCGAATGTAATCAGATTACTTTCAGACTGTCTGCAGCTGTTTTAAAAGCTTAGGCTTGATAAAGATAAGATAAGACACCTTTATTAGTCCCGCAAGGGGAAATTTCATAATTAGCCATAATTTCATAAGGCTGCCGACCTATTGCACGCAATGGCGGCGCCATCTTACCCTCCGACCATACATACATGACACAAAAACATCACATAGGGAAGACAGGTCAGAGAGGTATAACAATGGAAAATGCACCACATGAGGAAAGATAAGGAGAAAAAATAACTCCCCCCAGACTGAGCTCCAACAGGGAGATCAGTTTGAGAACAGAAAAAACACCAAAGAAACACATGACGAGCAGCAGGGGCGGGTAAAGGTGAGAGACAGCCAATGAAGACATCTGGGCCTGCAGCCTGTGCGCTGGTCTCCTTGATCCACCGTCAACATCGGAGGGGAATAAGCGTCGAAGGCATTTGAGGCACAAGGCTGTGAAAAAAAACCCCAAAACAAAACCATACTAAACAAACAAAAACACGTTTTTAGTGCTGTTCTTAGCTTTCATCAGCGACGTGTGGCCAGGTTGAGATGAAGAGGCTCTTCTTCGTGGCTCCTCCCTACAGCAGCGTAATGTAACGAATACACAAGACTTTGTTTTTTCTTTTTCTTGCTGCCTTCTTTTGCTTAACCCTTCTCTCTCTCCTTTCCTACCTTATCTTTGCCTTCGTCTTCCTTTTGTTAAATTAAATTCAACTCATTTTCATTTAGAAAGTGCCAAATAAGAACAACAGTCGCCTCAACAAACTTTATACTGTACAGTAAATACAATAATACAGAGAAAACCCCAACAATCAGACGATCACCTAGCCAAAATGCTGCAGCAAGAGTCCTGACA